CCCTCATGAACCCTATTTGGATCAAGAACTTCCACAGACTTTCATTCCATACAATGCTTTGGAAAGACTGTTCACATAACGCGAACATTTCAAGTTAATGAGGACTTGTTTATTCGTTATCGTATTAATTTTTTGACTCACACTAGGAACAAACCCATTAGAGAGAAGATTAGTATCAGAAATGCTTACATAAAAGCAACGCGATCGAAAATACAATCGCAACTATAATTTAAATCGCTGATTAAAACTACACGATTATTTCCTTATCCGTTGCCATACTAATTGGCAATTACTCCATCCCCACTGGGCAGAAGCCAAAGATCCCCAAGTGACATTGTGGGCAGAATTGGTAGTAATGGGTAGAGGAAACATAACTTGGCGCTGGAGAGGTGGCACTGACCTGCACACTTCATCCATATCGTTAGGACAATCTTGAAGCACAGAAGGTGACATTACTCTTCTAAAGCAGAAACGAATCTCCCTCAGGTATAGTTGGGTTGAACCTTCAATTGGCATACTGCATGAGATTTGAGGATAGAATCCCACACTGTTTTTGACCATTTGTACTTTACAAATGTCTTTGATTATAGGGTACTACTTTATTATATCTCTCGACTATTAGAAGTTACAAAAAGGTCTTCGCACTATATAGTGTTTTTGTTGAACCATTCGACTATCAAAAGTTAGTCCTTTTGATACAAAAATAAGTGCCTAAATTATATCCCAAATTGACTTTTAGTGTCTAAAATTTTTTTCGTTAAAAATAGATGTATAATGTTTTCTTTTGTTACCCTTTTAGAAGCTTACCGTTATATTTATTTTTTATTTTTTAAATAAAAATTTGATTTTGCTAAAAAAAATTTAAAAAATCGAACCTCCCGCGTCATCCCCCTCTCTCCTATTCCCCCACCTTTGATGGCGAAAGGTTACTACCTGTTGGGTTTTGATCGAAGCAGGGTGAGGAACTCAATGGTGCGGTCGTGTAAAGCATGAAAACTAGAGCCTTCGTAATTGCCAAAAAAAAGGGAACCCAAAAAACCGACGACCCTTTGCGGTGATTTTCACGATGGTCGGCGAGATCATACATCTAAAAGTGTAATATTGGAAACGCTAGATATCTATTTTTAACAAAAAAAAATTTTAGACGCCAAAAGTCAATATAGGTTATAGTTTAGACATTTATTTTTGTATTAATCCTAAAGTAAAAAATAAGTACTCAAACTATGCATTCTTTTTGCTTAAGCACTTAAACTATTTTTTGGTCAAACTAGGTCTTTAAACTATTATATTTAACCATTTAAAGTCCTATTATTTTCAAAAAAATATTTTTCGACCAATAAAATGTTGACACTTCACATTAAATTAAATATTTATTAGAAAATGTAAAAAAAAAGCGGGATTTAATCCTCAAATCTCATGCAATATAGGCACAAATCAACTATACCTTAAGGGGCATTTGATTTAAGGAAAAGATCATTACTAAGGGAAATAATCTTTTTACGGAATTGCATTCTCACGTTTGATTCATGAAAAAGATTATTATCATGGAATAATCTATTCTCAATAGTTGCACTTTTTGGTTTAAAATGGTGGGAATGTCATACTTTCAAATTCTTAGGTATTAGACAATTCTCACCACTTTGAATAATAATACCTCTAACTAATGAATTCTTTTTATAATGGTCATTCTTGATTCTTATATTTTGTACTTTACTCAAAATTATAAACATGATAATAACATACAAAGAGTTTAATTTAGTAAAATATTAATAAATTTGAGTATTTAAAATTATTTTATATTTTTAATATTCAATATATTAATTATTTATGATTTTATGAGGTGAAAAAAATAATATTATTGTAAAAATATAATTATTTAAAATAATATCTATCACCGATCAAACACCGATCGACCATTTAGACTCCTTTTGATTTCTCTCGAACATGAATTCGACGCCCCAAAATATCTCGGATACAATGCAACAGAAATTACGTCAGAAACGGAATTTAATCGGAAAAACAAATCGAATCATAAGATAAAAAGTTGAAAAACAGTTTAGCTGGTTCAAATTTAGTGAAATACCAATATTGCTCCTACGTTCGTTTTTCTCAAAGTATTGATGTCCGACACATAGATAAGGAGACATTAACTGACGATGAGCACCAAATACGTGGGAAAACTTACAGAGACAAAATGTACTCACACTCGAAAGAAAACCCGATAACTAATGCACCAGAAATCAAAATCAAGCAAGAAGTTTTAATCAATCAGAATATGAACTACTACTTTGACATCAATTACTGAGATGAAAAACTGAATCAAAGGCTCACAGGCATAACAAAATTCAAGATCGAATTCGAGACTTGTCGAAATGTAAATCGAAAAACAACAAAAGGGGATCCTTATTTCCATACAAACAAACAAAAAATCATTCAAAATCAATCAAAAAAGACCAATGCAATTGGCAAATTAAGCACTGTTTCTACAAGGATCGAACCTGAAAAAAGGAATCGAAACCTGAGATCAAGCAAACGTCGGAGACATACCAGGATCAAACAAGAACCAAACCAGAAAGTCAAAAACAGGACACAACAGGCAAAATTGAGCTGAAAGAGCCCACTTACAGGCAACTTTGTCAGAAAACAAGTGAATAAAAAATAGACAAAAGGCTTGCCACTAGTGATTACAATTTAAAGGGCTTACTAAGCACGATTCAAACGATTCAAAAAAAATGAAAATTTCAAGAATTCTGATTAAAAATACAGAAAAAGTCAAACTTTGACAGCAAAGCAATGATTTTCAACACACAAACAGGGTAAATAAGAAAAGCCCAGATTTAAGATAACAACTTGGGAAGTGAATATGCAGTATTTTAAAGCTTATGAGCTCGAAAACCCCATGCTCATACTTTAATGACATTTGCATGGCATAAGCCATAAAACATGGGGGAAAAACTTAAAAAAAACCCCAAGTTTTTAATTACACCATATGCTGCTTAGAGAGAGAAACTTACAGCAGTAAAGGGTGGGATTGATTGAAGTCTCTGTGCCTGAAACTTGGGTTTTAAATTTATAATTAATGGAGGAGCTAGTCAATGTCAATGGTGGGGTTTAACTTTGAGGATAACTTACAAATTTCATCACTAAATTTTACTATATCTTATTTTACTCACTGAACTTTAAAAGTTTTAATTTTTTACTAAACTTAATATACTGAATTTTTTAGTCACCCATCATTAAACAGTTAACAGCGTCAAAACGATATTTTTTTAAGAAAATAAAATTTTCACAAAAGTGGCATCGTTTTGTATCTACATAAAAACTTATTTATAACGTCGTTAGTAAGAAAATGACTTAGTGAGTAAGTGGCCAAAGAAACCCAATATATTAAATTCAGTGAAGAAATTAAAAAAATTTAAAGTACAATACGTGAAATAGGAGAGACAGTAAAATTTAGATATCAAATTTGTAATTTACCCTAAGTTTAATCGAAAAAGAAAAGAATAAAGTGAATCTATTGGAAATTAAGTTCAATTTAAAGTACAATATTCATTTTCCTTTTTTGAATGGAAATTTTGCTTTACAAGATTCTTCCCATTAGCATTAAAATTAAAAATATTACCCACCTTATTATGAGTTTTTTCTAAGGTAGAAGCCACAAGGTACAATAAGTCTTCAAATTAGTTTAGAAATATCAATTGTTTTCAATTAAAAATGCTAATTAAGTATTATTTTGATTATTTGATTGTTCAGTATTAATGATTTTTTTTATTTACAATACATGGTGTCATGATACAACGTTATCACATGGTATCTGTACAATTTTTAAAGAAAAACATTGAAAATGCATATGTATTATGAGATGATTTAGGAGCACGTGGTTCAAATTTGACAAAAAATGAACTTAAAATTAATGAGGAATTGAATGAATAATGATATCAAGGACTAAATCGTAAAACAGTCAAAATACTAATTCAAGTTTTTGAATAAATCGGAATTTCAAAATTTCAAATCAACTTGAACTCGAAAACTGAATTGATAATTCGAGTTGACTCGAATAACTCAAAATTATAAAAAGAAATTTGATTTTTGAGTCGAGTCAAGTTTTGCTCACCCCTACTTTCTATTCGAGTTATAGATATATACATATATGTTTATTATTTGATCCATATATTTTATAAAAATTAAAAGTTTAAATACTAAACGGAGTAAATTTTATAATTTGGGTACTAAACACGTTAAGTTTTTAACAGTGAGATACTAAAATGAAACAAAAATTCAACGTTAGGTATGATTTAAAACAAATAAGTTTAGATACTAAAACAAACTAAAATTGATAGTTTAGGTATTAAATACATAATTTACCCTTAAGTATGTTGTGCCCAACATTAACATTCATTTATAAATTACTTTGCGGGTTGAATGTGTAATAAAAACTGTGTAAGAAATATTCTTAAATTGGCATTCAAATCAAATCATACAAATCCAAATAAATTGATATTGAAACATAATCACACAAATCCATTAATCACACACTAATAACACTCATAGATAAAGCTCACTCAAAGTTTTCCAGCCCTCGAAGCAGTAGGAACGAAATGCGAAATCCTTTGAATTCCTCTAAACCTTCCATTTTGAGCCAAACACATCTACAATCATCAACACCATTGAAGTTAATGTCAATGGATGCAAATAAGACAATGCCATCTCAGCAATCAACCATAACAATGGCTCTATGATTACCTGAACAACTTACCCGAACATTTTAGATGAGTATAGGCCAATGAAATTCGAAGTGAGCAATATAGTTGCACGTAGACTCAGTACACTTGAGAATTTCTCTTCGGCAACGCTGACCGCATGAGGAGCAGTTAGGGTAGTCCTCAGCCTTCCTATGAAACTGAACATCATGATGATGTCCGTGAAAAGAATAAGGCAATGTGATCCCATCCTTGAGAAATGGAAATTCTCCAAGAATACAATCGGGATGAGCAGAAGTATCACAGATGGAACAACAATAATACCAGGCTCGGGTCTCTTTTTACTTCACATATATCACAATGAAGATGCTTTGAATAATCATTATCATCGTGATAGGTGAGGTTCAGCTGGTGTTGATCAATTTTGTGAACAGCTGATTGTGGTAATGATAAGCATTTGAAATCCAAAGCAAAACTGCACTTTCCACATCTGAATGCACCTTCTTCACCTGGGTCAGCGCCACAACCATTGCATCGCTCCCTGCATTTGAAATCATAAAACAACAAGTGCTCGTGTCCTTGAAATTCAATCACGTCAGGTACTTCAGCACACCTTAAACAAATGTAGAATCCTCTGATAACGTAGAAGAAACCGCTACAAGGTCGTTTGCACAAGTCACACCGCCCGAAGCTTGTGGAGTCGAGAGTGGCAGAAGATCGACGAAACCAATGACGCTTTACTCTTGGCAGCTCGGCACAGTTTTTGTGGAGATAGAAATGGCATTCTGATTCAGAACAATAATAAAACAGAGTTGAGACAGGTAGCATGCACCCATCACATCTTCTATCAGTTTCCTCCTCCATCTTCTCTGCTAACACCAAGCAATGACCTTCATGGCTGAAATGTTCAATCTTTGTGGCTTCCCCATCTTCGCTCACCTCAACAACGCGAGTGATGGAAGACTGCGTAGACTCAGCTGAACTTCCATAGAGCTCCTCGCATTGGCTTTCTCGCTCAACCACCTCGTAAAATCTGTCATCCTCCAAGGCACAATTAACGTGAACAATGTACTTGCAACCAGACTTCACACAAGAGTAACTCCCACGGTCAAGCTTCACTTCATTGAAGCAAATCTTACAATCTTGCTTTGTAAGATCTTGTGTTTCAAGAAAATATTTGTGAGAAAGACAATGATCATGTCGTGAAAATTTGATAATACGTGGGAGTGAAATGCAATCTTTGTGGACTGTGATGCTGCATGTAGAACATGTATAAGACATATAGTTCCCCTCAGTACTACATGCATCACAAATGAATGGACTTCTTCTCCAATAATGTGAATGAGTGTTGATGGTGGCTTTTAACTTCAACAATGGATCTCGGCCAAACACATATAATATTGATATTAAAATTACAAAGAGAACAATAATAAAAATATCCAGGATGTTGCTTTTGGCATAGCTTGCAAAAGGAATCAGTCACATTAGAGTCAAGAAAAAGAGAGTGTATTAGATGGGAAGGGTGATGAATTTTAGCAGGTAACTCATCAAAGCATTTTTATGGAAAACAAACGATGGGCATTGAAAACAAAAGTAAAAAGCATCTATTAATGGTTGATGACACCAAAAGCAGTTGAATCTTTTGAATTCATCCATGGGACTTGGAATGAAGGTCAATGGATGTGGGTGGAAGTCATGTTTGGACTCTTGGTTGACTTTACTAAATGAAGAAGACAAATCAGAGCATTTGATGTCAAGGGAAAAGTAACAATTACGACATTCATAAAAGAACATGTTGCGTTTCTCCTTGCATAATTCACAACCATATACCTCATCACCAGGATATGGCCTTTCTCGAAGAAAAAAATCAGAGTGCTTGGGATGGAGAGGGTGACTGGAAATTCTCTCGGGTGCGAGGGCACAGTTGTGATGAAGGTGATAATTGCAGGGTGGACAACTAAAGTATGGATCTGAAATCACATCCCCACAGGCTGAGCAGTAAGCTTTCTCACCTTCAGTGCTTTGATCTTCCACAAACACCAAGGGATGCTCATGAAAAGGATGCTTAATATCTCTCTTCTTCTCCATCTCCATTTGTGTTCTGTGAGTAATGAATGAGATGGCAGTGAATGATGACTTCTTGTTCTAACAATAAATAGGAATTTCTTAAAAAAAAAAGTATTTCTAACATTAATCTTGGCAAGTAAGGTACAAACAAGAGTGACTTGAATTGAAAGCTAAAGTATCCTAAAGACTCACTCTTCTCTTTGGTCAAAGCATTGTGCTTTGCTTATTTGCAAGAACAACCCTTTTCCTTTTGCTAGAACTCATAACAATTAAAAATTTTCAATAGCTTCTCCATAATTTTATACGTATAAATTATAATTACGAATATCTTGAAGAGTAATTAACAAAAAATTTAGTAATAAATTACAATAATATATAAGTGAAAATAAGGTATATATGCAAAAATAAAAATTAAAAAAATTAAAAGCTTGATATGCTAAAATTAAAAGCTTTGCATCAAACTGTTTTTTTTCCTCAAATAGTATAATGATTAAAATATTTCTATGAATTTTCATTCAAATATTTACAATTTAATATTAAAGTTTAATATGCTAAACAAAGCAAACAAGGTAATACAATATTCTCATACTAATTTTACGTAATGTTATTTCCAAAGATAATCTTATATTTCATGGACCAAGCACCCCCATAATAATTAAAGACTTAGTTTGACCAAAAAAAAGTTTAGGTAGTTAAAGCAAAAAAAAATGACATAATTTAAGTAATTTTTTGGTTTAAGCCTTGTTTAAATTTTCAGGATCTCACTGTGTATGAGCGAAAGCATTAAAGCAGAACCTGAACGATGCGTCAAAACCTGCTCAAACCGTAAAGATTAACTAACAGAAAAAATCCCGCATAAAAGGGTATGTCATTCAGAAGTACATACAAAATGATAAGATAGAAAGGCTTCCTTTCATACAGAGTGAAGATAGAGGGCTCGTGGCTCTGCTTGGTTCTTGGTCATAGATCTCCGAAAGCCCTACGAAGAAGTTATTGGATTAACCAGCTAGAAAAACAGATGGTCACATTAACAGTTAAGAAATAAACAACTTCTTTATATGCTCAATAGACTTGAAAATGGCATTTACCATTTGGTAAGACATTAAGTTATGAGCAAACAAAAAAATCTTACAAATACCTTTCTGACATACAAATACTTCTCTATGCTCTCCAAAAAATTCTCCCGTTACGACCTGCATGACGAATTATAGTGAGAGCAGTAGCCCATGGAAAGATCGTCCAATCTTTCGAGAAAAGCATCCACCGGCAAAGGAAAGGAAGAATGCGAAACGAGAGAGTCATCCTCTGCTGCTATGTAAAGAGCAGTTTTCCAGAGATCAACGCCTCTATTTATACTAATACTTGTTTCCCTCTTGATATTGGATAATTCTTTAATTTGTGAAACGAAACCCTTCCTGGCCTCCTGCTCAAAGATCATGCAGAAGAAAACATTTTAGATATAAACTTTAAACAACTAACTATATCAAACTTGATATATCATTCAAACATCATTGAGCTTAACCTATCATGTTGTTCGTTCTCGTATATATGTGACTCTAAGTGGGGCATAAAGACCTAAGTCAAAACCTCTATCCTCCACAAGAATCAAAACTATAACATTCAAATCGAGAGTTTCCATTCCCAATCAAATTGAGAGTCAGCCATAACTTTATCAATTCTTGGCAGATGATAAAAAAACCAAAACAATGACATAGAAGATGAATAAAGTTCGTTTAACATTGATTAGAAGCAATCAACTGAGTTTTAGAAAGAAATTTCCATGGAAAACTACTCAAAATCCATTAGATTAAACTAATTCTAACATTTCTCCAACTACATTCCGAAATGCATAAAATAGTTTCCTCTTTACAGTAGAAAAGGAGAAGGGGGAGGAGGAGGAGTACTCTAGCGTGAGAGGTATCGATTCCAGAAGATTCAAGGGCATCTTGCAAGGCGAAGTCGAAATCGGTGGAAGCAGAAGCAGCGCCCGGAAAGGATCGACCACAGCGGACGAGACAGAGGTAAGACGGCGGAGATAACGACGTGTTTGAATGAATCTTGGAGGATTTAGGAGGAAAAGGATTGAGAATCGTTAGTGAAGAAGATGAACTCATCGATGCTTCGTTAGTGAATCAAACTTATTTATTTATTTTTTGTACTTAATTAAAAGATATAGGGACCCTTTCATTTTAGGCACTTGATTATTAAAACATGTAAGAGTTAATTGCATCATATATCCCCAAACTATGACTCTCATTTCAAATTAGTCCTTAAACTTTTAAACATTCCAATTACATCCTTAAACTATGACTCTCATTCTAAATTAGTCCTTAAATTTTTTAACATTCCAATTTTATCCCCAAACTATGAATCATTCTAAATTAGTCCCTATACTTTTAGATCTTCCAATTTCATCCCCAAATTCATCCAAATATATAATCCATTTCAATCATAGTTTAAACTAAATTTTTTCCAAGCATATAATAATATAACTTGGTCTAATGATTTTATTAACAAAAGATGTGATTAGTATATACATATAATTTAGGATAAAATTGAAATATTCAAAAAGCTTGAGGACTAATTTAGAATGAAGATCACAATTTGGGGATGAAAATGAAATGTTTAAAAGTTTAAGAACTAATTTAAAATGATAGCCATATTTTAACGATGAAATTGAAATGTTTAAAAGTTTAGAGACCAATTTAAAATAAGGGTCATAGATTGAGGAGTATAATGCAATTAATTCAAATTTTAATTTGATCATTTTTTTAATTTCGTCTTTTGTAAATGTATTAATCATTATATATATATATATATATATATATATATTATTGATTTCAAAATCAAAAAGTATTTTTTATTTTTTTTATTTAACGTAACATTTTTTTCATCTTATCTTTTTTATCAAAGAATTTCACTAAACTATAGGGGTCATTTTAGGCATTAAGCCTTTATTTGTAATAAAAAAACTTTTGGGTAAATTACTCGTTGAGTACCTAAACTATTATTTTTAGTCTATTTTAATACTTAAACTTTCAATTTTTTCAAAATCATACCTAAGATTAGTTTTTGTTTTATTTTAATACCATACCGTTAATAGTTTTTGTTAAAAGTTTTTGTTTCATTTTAGTACTCATGTTCAAGATTTAACGTAAGTTTTGAAAAAAATTAAAAGTTTAAGTACTAAAACGGATCAAAATTGATAGTTTAGATACTACACGCATTAAGTTTTTAACAGTAGGATACTAAAATAAAATAAAAACTAAAAGTTATATATGATTTTGACAAAAATAAAAGTTTATGCACTAAAACGGGCCAAAACTGATAGTACTAAACGTATAATTTACCCAAAACTTTTTATTAGAAAAGCAAACATAACTTCTATTCCAAGAGTCCACAACATGAACCGTCTGGGAAATAGCCCGACAGTTTTAAGATCAAAAGCTTTCATGGATAGGCTTGGACACCACCAAGATATGTTGCATTAACCGATGCAGATCCTTCGGTAGCAAAGTCGTCCCACGAATCGGTTGACAGTACGACGAAATCAGAGAATTTTCCGGTCGATAGAGATCCCATTTCGTTCTCGAGAAAGCATGCTCGAGCAGCTGAAATCAGGTGCCTGTTAGGATGAAACCAGGAAAAGCATCTGCTAAAAGCATTGGAACGAAGACCGGGGGATTTCGTTTTCTCAAAAGCACCCATGTCCGATACCCACGTCAGTGTTCGGTACATTTCGGACATGGATATGGAGGTATGATCCTCAAATATAGGAAAAAAATCAAGCATACTTGTGACAATCATATATCCATATATATCCAACACCAATTCCAGGTATAGAAATTTAAAGCCAGTGCAGATAGAAGCAAATCATGATAAAGTAAACGTGCTTCGATGAAAAGCCGATGCAAAATCCGAAGAGAAGCATAGGAATGCTATTGAGAACAATGATTTTAAGTTTTTAACAGTTCAATTCGAAAGCTCAAATGATTTTTTTTATCAAGGAATGTATGGTTACTTCCTAGAGATTATGGTACAAGCAGCATGCAGCAAGCGTTTATATGTCGAGAACGAATAAGTACGCATCGAAGACTCGGAGAAAATGTAGTTCCAATGTTGCTTACCCGATTAAGGCGTCGTTCAGTGAAAGGCGTTCGGACGGAATCCAAGCATTTCCCCAGCCAGGAGGAATTCTTTTCATTGCTGTTCTTATGGCACGCAAAGGATAAGCACTTGTAACCTGGAGTAACAACAATAAATGAGGTCTCGAGAAGGCGTAGAAAAATATGTTACTCGGAGTTTGGATGATTGTCGATATATGTGTCCGACATGGGCCTGCTCGATTGTTTTGAGGTTTTTCCATATGTTTAAAGAATCTCATCCGCTTTACACATGTCCGAATATGTTTCGGACATAGATGTTAAGTTAACCAGAGACTTTAGGGAAATGAAGAGTCCAAGTAACACAAGTAAAGACGAGAAACAAATATTAACCAGAAGATGATGCTCACAGGCCAGTCAGAACCTAGAGCCAACAATGCATTGCTTGATAGAAGTGAGCGGAAACGATAAGATCCCTTTTGAGCCCTATCCACCCCAAGCTTTCTGATCGCCGCATCTTCATCATCGAGCAAGTGATCGGGCTGTTGGCAATAACAACATCCAAGTATCATCAAACTGAAATCATTTCCAGTAGAATAATATAAGAGTATCTAAGTAACTAAGATCACCATCACATTGGATGCAACGATAATTTCAAGTTTTTAGTAAACGATAGAACAGAATGCAAAAGAGGAGATGGAATTCCGAATTCATGGTTCAGACATGAATTCACCCCTGGAGTTAAAAATCCGGACAAAGATACGTTCACATTTTATTAGCAGTGTCTTAGCATGAATCACGAAAATATAAACGGAGTGCCAAAAAGAATTAAAACCTGTACTGATGCAACAATCTAGCCGCTGTGCCCGGGGTCAAATGCTGGGCATGCTCATTCTGAAATCATAATCAAAAAGGAGAAAACCCGGTCAAGCTCATTTATTTAGAGAAAATTGAAGAGTAAGAGCAACATAGATTTAGACTATATTTTCAATTTTTGTTTAGCTATGGAACGGTTGTATTTCTTCCACCAAGAAATATCAACCCTGAAACCAGAAGCAACTAAATACACATACCTCCATTAGCTGTACTCATAATTGTACCACCATTCGGATCTTTTGATAAATTAGTGACTCCAGCCAACTTTAGCGCCACCGAATTAGCCAAGCCCATATGACCATCCATCCTTGTCAGCCAAACCTGCAAAATAAGATATCATTACCATGCTCGATATAAATTACCCTCATGTTGACATAAATAGATATTCTCAGTCAAATTCCAGCTTCTTATAGGATTATCAGCTGTGACCTCGTCTATCCAAGATGCCACTGGCAGTTCCCCTCCCCAAAGATCATTGTTCCATCAACCACCCAGTATCCATGAACCCCTTTTGGCATCTACACTTATTCAGAAGAACAAGGCAATTGAGAAAGTTACACGATATTGACAAAAGCATGTAAGAAGCAAAAACACGGGAAGTAACTTTATTCAATTACATAACTACACCGGCATCGTCAGATTTTACCACTGTATTGGCTTCTACCTTTACAACTTTTTGGACTAAATCATAATTTTATCATTTTAAGGGGGGGCAAAATGTTTTTGACCACTAACTTCTAATTTTTAAAGGGACTGTGTGCATAATTTCACCTCTGATCTTTGGTGGTCATATCCCTATTTTCATGTATTGGACATGAGTTTCAGACACGACACTTCAACAAAAACATAGAGTTGCAACATAGACCATGGTCATGGATAGCAATGAACAAATAGGGACAACACCTAACCCTCCGCACCTATAAACTAAGTATTATGATAAAACGCCACAAAAGTATTACATATAGCAGCGTTTTCATTTCAAACGCCACAAATTGAGACTTTAGCGGCGTTTTTTGTGAAAACGCTGCAAAATAGTATAAATATAACGGGTTTTTGTGAAAAACGCCGCCATAGGATGGTATATAGTGGCGTTTTTTCAACAAACGCCGCAATTAATAATAGTTTTTACGTCGTTTTTAGACAAACGCCACAGAAAGGTTAAACAATAATGGCGTTTATAGTAAAACGCCGCAATATAGTAGACATTTAGCGGCGTTTTAGCTAAAAATGCCGCAATATAGTGTAATATAGCGACGCTTATTGTATAAACGCCGCAAAAATATGTGATATAGTGGCGTTTTGTAAAAACGCCGCAAAATGTTAAATATATTATCCTCCATTTTCTCCCACCCAAACCCTAAAATCATTTCAACTCTTCTTCCCTCACAGTTTCTTCTCTGGTACAACAACAACCCTCACACGATTCCAAGCGACGTCGTCTTTTGTCTATCCCGGCGACCAAATCGGCCCTCTCACCGACGAACTATAACACAATTCCACGGTTTGATCCCTCTTATCTTAGCTCCTGATCTTTTTCAATTTTGTTTTGGTTGGTATTCTAAAAATGGGGAAAACCCAGAAAGCTAACATATTTGAGAAAAAAAGAGCAGGTCTTGCCTTGAGTAAGAGAAATTATCGTCGGAATGTCTACGTGGCGTCTTTGCTCTGACGATGGATCAAATTATCGCTGGGAGGCTATCGGTCCGGTTTCGCCGTCGAAACTCGATGATGACTCGACAAGAACTCATATTGCTCCATACCCTTCCATGGCCGATCTCCTACTTGAAGGTAAAATTCTATGAATCTTTATGCCGCTATATTTCCTTTTTTGTACGGTCACTCAAATTTCATAGATCGTACGCATGTAGGATCTTCGAAGGGTATTGAGAATGATGATAGAGAAATGGAAAAATACCCTATGTTTAGAACCGAATTTGGTAACTCTGTGGCGTTGAAAGAATCTTCAATTGCAAAAGCAGTATCGATCCTCAATGAAGACGATGTTGCCTCTACTGTTACTCCAAGTAAACATTTATATCATCTATTTAAATATATTTTAATGTTTGATTCAATTCCCAAGCACCTCCAATCAAGTTTTATACTGTAGGTGGAGGGTCGTTATCTGTTTCAAGTGAAGC